CGGGTCAAGTCGATTCACAGCCTCGGCCTTCCACCAATTCTTACAAGCTTTCTTTTGTTTAATTGATTAAATAGAATAAAAAAATTAAGATGGCGCCGTTTTTGCATGAGAAAACCACCTTATGATCCAGGTCATTGTGCCTCAATATATTTTGTAGACTGGTAGTCACTTTCGTTTGATCAGTTTATAAACTTCAAAGCGTTTTGTACTATCCTGTATACTCGTGTTATGTCGCTTTGCCACTATGTACCATCAGCTGTTATGATTGCTGTATTCATCCGTTTCCAGTTTTATTTGTTGAAGTAAATAGTTGATATTCCATGGGCGCTTTCCATTATACGTTTACACACTTCTGGAACTGGTTTCAATTCTGGAATGACCAGAATGAGCGTATTCCGGCCTTGTAAGCGAACGGCTGGAATTCACAACGCATTTTATTCATGTCATGTCACAAACGAAATTGATGAATCGCAAAAAGAAATCACGTACACCCTCGCGATCGATCGCGCGCACGTGGACCTAGCATCGCGCGCACGCCGGCCAGGGAGGCTCTTCGCGCGCTTGAGTCATGACCAAACCGGTAACACACCGACAGTGCAATTTTGGTGCCAGAATTAGAGAAATTCCGCCTTTTGTGCAGAATTGATGGATTCGACGGAATTGGATAAAATCAGTTCTAACGACGGAATTTGTCACTTTTTGTGTAATCGAACTGTGCATCAACAATAACTAATTCTAGAATTGACCGAAATGCGTGTAATCGAAAGCGCCCCATGTGTTCTTAGGACTGTCTTTTCCTGTTCATGTAAATCCTTTTGCCTATTCTGCAGCTGCACGCGTGTGTTCACCTCATTGGCCTCGCTCGTTCGTCATTTCTTTTGTTCATTTGGCTTATGCGAAGACTAGCCAAGCCTGCTTGGTGATGTCAACGCGAACAAGCATAATAAGAACGAGAGAGCTTGAAAGCTCAGGGCCCTACGCTATGCTTTTTTGCCTAGCTAGCGCATCATGCATGTTATTAGAACTGATGGAAATGGGTTTTTTTCCATTGATTGGCTACATCAAATTTTCTCTTTGCATTCGAGGGTAATACGACACCGCCTACCACCTTGATGACCAAGGCAAAAAAGAATAGTGATGTTATACCTTTTTTCATTTCTCCTATTTTTTTTTCAAGACAACCTGGGATTCAAACCCGCACTATCGCCCTGCATGCATTCCCCCGATACACTTAGCATACATACTCATTCTTCCAAGTTGCTTCACGTTATGATCTTGCATTTGAAAGCCCTATTATAGTAGTTTGAATATTGTGGCCAGCTGTCTTTGATGGTACGGTACGGGACAGGTACGGGATCAACTGTTCAAACAAATTTTATAAAGAGATTAGTTGAAGTGTCCCATTAGAACGGTTTCTATCATTAATTTTTAGAGTTTTTCAGTGGAATTGTCATGGCGATGATGACGTCCGATCAGATCGACCATCTCCACGTACTACATGACGTAGCTATTCCAAACTCTTCGAAACTAATCCACCTCTCCCATCGGGTGAGGTTGTGGGGTTTCGAGGAGTTTTGAGGAGCTTCGTTTTTCTGAAGAGGCCAATAAGGCCACCTCTTCAGAAAAACGAAACTCCTCGAAAAGTCAAAGAGTGACAATTGAATTCGAACGCGCCCTAAAGCTGCGTGGACCCTGGCTAGCGCCAGACGTTACTGAAGTAACGACTTTTGCATAGCTACGGGAATACACCGTTTGGTGCTTTCAGCACACCGGTAATATTTTTACTCGGGTTTGAAGCACACTTGATACTGATAGACATGGTAATAACAGCCTTAGTGTTGCTCAGTTGACAACTAATACCTCTCTTTTTACGCTAGCATGAGGACTAGTATAGCACCAACATGCTGATACAATGTACATGCAGCTGGTGGGATCTTCAAGTGAGTGTGTGCTGAATGTGAACACACCCAATGGCCCGAATTAATGAGGCATGCACTTCAAATCTCAAGCTCTGATCTGGATTGACTTCTTAAATTTTAATTGTTCATCTCTTTTTGGCTTTAAAAATTCAAAAGAGACCAGAGCCGCGTTGAGATTTGAAGTGCATGCCTAGTGCCTCATAATTGAAATGCATCAAAAGCAATGATAATAAATTATTATGCTTGTTGGGGGAGGGGACATTAGTCCCTGCATTGAATTCTGAAACTCTCTCTACGCTTTCTTCTTCACATATTTTTGTGCATGCACCCACGTAGATCTACAACAATACTACAAAGAAAAGTCCGAAACATATGTACAATGTATAGGATAAAAACCGAGGCTGAGTTTGTATCGGGAGTCAAAACCTGTATCAAACTCGAAGCGCAGCCGAGGAGGGGGTGGGTAGCTATTCACTTAGTGACTTACTGTGACTTTAATAGTCCACCGTATTCGACAGTGTTACTACATCATCTCACGCACACTGACTACAGGCCTAGAAAATAATAATCAATCTGACACGAAGATTTACACCTGTACAGTGGAGCATCTTTAGGAAGAACGCTGATAAGACACACTCAGATCGCTTGAGAAGAACATTCTGATAAGTGATAGCTAACTGTACTAGTATATTCATAGAAAAGAAAAGAGTACCAAGGAACTACAAGTTACGCTATAATGTCCACTAACACCGCCACTAAACAATCAGCTCATTTTTCTTTTCTATATAATCCTTCGCTCTCCATCCGAGAACTGTGGCTATTCCCTGGGTATAAAAAAAGGGATAAGGGGCCGTCCGTAAATATCGATGTTTTTTTAGAGACGATATTGGTGCTTCTTTAAAATTCTCTCCCGTGACCCCCCCCCCCCCTCCCCCCAGAAGACGCACATGTACATCTAGATCATGGAATCCTCAATCTGCGGACAGAACTGTTTCGTCCTTTGTGGACTCGGCAGCGCAGCACAGAGGAAATGAGGCCGAACCTGATAGCAATGGAAATATAAATTTCCAATCAGGCCCGAACGTACCTTGCCTGAGTGCTCAAACTGACAAGTCAGTGAGCTCTGCATAACGCAAACAGCAAAGGCACTACCCCACGCAAGAGTGCTCAACTGCTACAAGAGCAGGAGCGAAATACTCAATCTGCGGACAGAACTGTTTCGTCCTTTGTGGACTCGTCAGCGCAGCACAGAGGAAATGAGGCCGAACCTGATAGCAATGGAAATATAAATTTCCAATCAGGCCCGAACGTACCTTGCCAGAGTGCTCAAACTGACAAGTCAGTGAGCTCTGCATAACGCAAACAGCAAAGGCACTACCCCACGCAAGAGTGCTCAACTGCTACAAGAGCAGGAGCGAAATACTCAATCTGCGGACAGAACTGTTTCGTCCTTTGTGGACTCGTCAGCGCAGCACAGAGGAAATGAGGCCGAACCTGATAGCAATGGAAATATAAATTTCCAATCAGGCCCGAACGTACCTTGCCAGAGTGCTCAAACTGACAAGTCAGTGAGCTCTGCATAACGCAAACAGCAAAGGCACTACCCCACGCAAGAGTGCTCAACTGCTACAAGAGCAGGAGCGAAATACTCAATCTGCGGACAGAACTGTTTCGTCCTTTGTGGACTCGTCAGCGCAGCACAGAGGAAATGAGGCCGAACCTGATAGCAATGGAAATAAAAATTTCCAATCAGGCCCGAACGTACCTTGCCAGAGTGCTCAAACTGACAAGTCAGTGAGCTCTGCATAACGCAAACAGCAAAGGCACTACCCCACGCAAGAGTGCTCAACTGCTACAAGAGCAGGAGCGAAATACTCAATCTGCGGACAGAACTGTTTCGTCCTTTGTGGACTCGTCAGCGCAGCACAGAGGAAATGAGGCCGAACCTGATAGCAATGGAAATAAAAATTTCCAATCAGGCCCGAACGTACCTTGCCAGAGTGCTCAAACTGACAAGTCAGTGAGCTCTGCATAACGCAAACAGCAAAGGCACTACCCCACGCAAGAGTGCTCAACTACTACAAGAGCAGGAGCGAAATACTCAATCTGCGGACAGCATGCTGTTTCGTTCTTTTTGAACTCATCAGCGCGCAGCACAGAGAAAATGAAACTAAAATGCAGGGAATCAATATTAATTTTTTGGATGCTCATTTTTTTTTCCTTTTTTGTCAATAATATGAACCCAAGATGGCAAGTTTGCAGTATTTATTATGGAGAAGGAGAGCATTATGACTTTTTTGGTCGCCCTCGAGAACACTTGGGGCCAACAGCCTTCTTGTGCTGCATTAGAAGGTCTCCTGCAGGCATCGTTCGGCCGATTTCCACAATCAATAGCTCATTCTTTTGCTCTTGAAATTCGCCATGGGCGTACAGCTTCCAATTTTTGATTTTGTTCTTGTGTCGCGAGTTTTAGCTCCGCGAACGGAAGCTGGTTTCACATTTCTTGTATAGCCATTTAGACGTCCGCGTGCAGGGATCGGCGAAACTTCAGATATTTACATCGATATTTTTCTGATGCTCGAAAAGACGCACATGGCTCAAACCCCCTCCCCCCCCAGCCGCACCAATATCGTCTCTAAAAAAACATCGATATTTACGGACGGTCCCTAATTAGAAATCCCTTTTTTGTGAACAAATACCATCGCATCAGTTCCTGACCTAGGCGTCCTAAACAGGCTAAAGAGGTTTGACTGTACATTAATGTACCTGTCCATTCTCCAAGGCCAGGGTGACGGAATATTGGCCTGTATGAGTGTAAGCTGAGGCACGTCCACAGTGCTGCTAAATGAAATCCAGCATCGCATCGTCACTTGAGTTTGTTTGCACCTTGCACCATTTTTGCAGCTGCATGCCCAGGGCTGCGAGTGACGCGACTGGGTTTCGCCGAGCAGCAGCGTAACATTATGCACCAGCTGACCACGCACCACAGGCATACCGTTACTACGCTTGCTCTCTCAACATGGCTTGAGCACTGCAGCAACCAGCAGCACACCCAAACCAAGACCACCAGCACAGCACTGCTTTAGTATAAAAAAATTCCTTTCAAGATTGAAGGAAATAACATTACCAGCAGTATAGTCCATAGAAGGAAAACAGTGAAGTGAGACCTTGAAGTCGCTTGCCGCTTGTCATCTTGCTGATGCATATAACAGGGCATGGCGTCTTCAGGAGGAACACAACACAAGAGCGAAAAAATGGAGTGAGTTGATATAAAGGCTGCATTGACAAGGTTAGAACTGTTCATATTGCTCTCTGCAGACCATATAAGGAAGCGGATAAAGGCACAGTAATGAGTACTCAGAGAATCAAGAGCTGAAAAGCTTCTGCCTGTCAAAATAAAACTGCTGCAAGGCGTAAGGTTCACCAGAAGAGAGCAATAGAGATTTCGAGGAATAATATAATACGCAGATTAGAACTCAACGATTCTGGAAGGAGTAAGGGGGAGGGGAGTAAAGAGCACTCTGGAGTGCCAAAACTGTGAGCACTGTTGTCGACAATTGACAGCCTTCATCAGCATGTGTCAAGTTTCTCAATGCAGGCGCACAGGCCATGCCCAGCCATGGCAAGGTGTACCTGAGCAAGCAGTACAATCATGCTGTTTGTACGCCTGGTTGTTAACTGTAATGGGACCAAGAGCAAGGAAATAGCTCAGCATTCAGAGTCACTGAGGTCAGTGTGGTCGCCGTCGGCCTGGTTCAATCCCGATATACAGCAGCTGTGTGGATCTTCGTCTTCGTGGTCGTCTTCGTGCGGCACACTGGACTTCGACGCTCCGCTCGTTTGCCCGAGCGAGCTCAGGGAAGTGTTGGAGCCGCCGAGTGAGAACGACGTCACAATGTCGTGACGGCCGGGAGCCGCTGGAGGGGAGTTTGCCGTCATCGGCGGACTGTCCGTTTCCTCTACCATGTCGGGCATGTCGTGATGTAGTGTGGATGCTGAGGAGCAGAGAGTGGCAGAGGAGTTGCTGACCAGGCAGCAGCTGTTGCGTGTGCTGTTCGCGAAGGGCGGCGTGCTGCAGGTCATCTCCTCCTCGCTGTTGTCACCGGCGTGCCGGTGGTACACACTGGGCGTGGTGTAGACTATTTCTGCACAGCCACTGCACAATTGAGCAGCGGTGGATTTCCGCGGCTGGGTGATGCTGCTGGTGCTGCTAGACGAGGAGCTTGTAGGTACATTAGGTGAGAACTTGTCGGTGCTGCTGGGGCTAGCGGCGCAGAGGGTCTTGTCGGAATCACTCGAGTCCGACCTGCTGGCTTCCGGCTTCAGCACTGGCAGAGCCGACTTGCAGGACACTGGCACAATGGTGTTTGTAGAGCTGGGCGATACCGAGAATGCACTTGTAGGTAGATTGGCATGCAGGCGGGCAGCCGAAACACTATGTTGAGAGTGCACTGACATGGTTTCTACTTCGTTGGTGCTCGTCGACAGAGAGCGGTAGGTCTCCGTTGTGGAGCAGTCCTCAGTTGCTCCGACGTCGGACGAGGACAAGTCGAGCGTGTCAAGTGAATGCGAGTGGGCATCCAGAAGCTGAGACTCAAAATGAGTGGACATCCCAGTGCCTGGCTTGTACGAGTTGGAATGCCGTGATCGGGCCCGCGGAGGTCGATGGCTTCTGTGACGCGATGACGTGGATTCAGATCCCGACTCGCCGCCCAATCGGATGCGCTGCGAGGATGCTTTACTGGGAGATCCGGACTTTGAACCCTGCCTGGTGGAAATGACGTCCACCGACGTGCTTCCGAGCAGTGAACCGTTCTTCGGAGAATCCTGTCGATGCCCAGCACTTGCCTGTCCCGCTGCCTGTGTACTTGCACGATCCAGGTCACTTCTGGAGTCAGTATCCGACGACGTCGTCGTTGTTGGGTCTCTCTCCCGCCGCTTTCTCGTTCTTCTCCGCCGCTCCGCCACTGCTGGTTCGGTGACGTAGGAGTTCATCGCCTGGTTGCGTCGCTGCAGCAGGGATGAGTCAGACGGATCCTTCAGCTTGTTTGATTTCAGGGCCTCCTCCTCTAGCATGGCTGTCTTTTCCAGCATCTGCCGGCGCCATGCCAGCGTCCTGTCAAGTTCTCTGCATCAAGACAGCGAGAAAAGGAGAGAAAAGAACAATCATGAGCCAATCATACAGGGTCTTTATGATGGGATATCTCGCCGGCCACTCGTGGTCTTCAGTTGACACCGCTCACGCCATGCTAAACTCCACGTAGTAGCTTATCACCAGGGGGTCTACAAGCAGGAGAACGCCATTCTAGGTCAAAGCTGCTGCAAATGGATGTGAAACGTCCTGGCAAATGCACAGAAAATCCATCAGGTACACGCTACCAACTTGCTTACACTACACCCAGTACCGTAGTCTGCTTTAGGTGTCACTTACAAGTTACATTACGCATTAGGTGCACTCCAAATCTGACATCATAGGGCTACATGGCAGTACATGCACTGCAAAAGCTTACATCATGAGAAAACATGCACTCCAAAAACCTTACATCATAGGCTACATGCACTGCAAACAAAAACTTACATCATGATATCTTCCGCTTTCTCCATCCATATCCGGTGCGTTGCCTCGCCCGATGGACATCTCTGGCCCGTCACGAACATGAAGCACTTGCTCTCGAAGCCATAGCGGCGAATGCAGTTGAGCGGTATCGTTTCCGAATTTATGTGGCTGAACAGAATGAGCGCGTTCTCCGTCACCTCGGCACGTCCTGAGCCGCACTGGACATCGCTGCGTTCATAGCTGGCAAACTTGAAATAGCGGCGGTGGGCGACATCGAACTGAGGGAGATACGGTGCCACGTCCTTGTTTTCTGGTCTCCGGCAAGAGAAGCGTGAGTGTTTCGACACAGCACTTCCCATAACTGCACGGAAGAAAGCAGGACACACAGCCACAGCCACAGGCAATCAGTAACAGCATTAGCGGCAACACCAGGCAATGCCCGTAACATGTCCGCTCACTCTTGCTCGCTGCGTACACTCTCACCGACAAGACAAGGCAACTCTGGTTGAAATATTTGGCAAGTTGCAGATAAACTAAAGTTTCATGATGAAAAGAGGCATGGGCTGCCAAAAAATGCACATTTCATGACTGAGTTATCTTGCCGCTCATTAGCACTAAATCATGTAACTGCTGGAAAGCACCCAATATCGTTAGTAACCACAAAATAAATAATCTACACGTAAAAAGTGCAAGACATAACCACAAACACGCCTTTACACCATAGTTCTCAAGTGGCTGACTAGTTTTCTTGCAGTGTACTTTCGAAGTATTCATCACACTGATACAGGGACAAAACACACTTCATTCAGGAAAAAGTGTGTCCCTGAAGGATGACTAGCCCCAGCGTGACACACACTGCTCAGCAGTGTCCAGCACCAGAGTCACTCCATGCACTTTTGGCGCGGCCCGACCTTTCCTTAAGCGTCTCTGCTAGAGAGCCACCCGCTGCCGCTATGCTTATGCACAGAGTACACAGCCTAACGTACCCTCTGGAAGCTTCTTTGCATCAGCCTCTAGATATCCGGCGACATGGCAGTCTTCCGCATCACGAGAAAGCTTTACAGCTTGGGTAAATCCTACAAAACTGTACACACCAGTTTCTTTTTTAGATGTGGATAGCAAGGCACCCAAGGACAGTTTCTCCCGTACCTAAAAGGTCGTAATGACTAGGAGCATCTCAGAGCACACCAGGAACTAATGTGGGCTGCACTTCCGAAATTCCAGCACACATAAAACAGCTGCAGGAAGCAGAGCACATCTGCCATCACACAGGATGGAAGGCTGTATGCACACAGCTCAGAGTCAGCCAGGATCATTTGCCTAACCTGATCCAGTGACACTCACTGTGTACGGTGTGCATGCACCTGTATGGCTAGGTGACCCAACTCAACTGCAATGGCAGAGCTCACAGGAGAGACCTGACTATTCACAAATCATTTATTTCTACAAGTAAAAAAAGTTCTCCTGCACATTGTTGACACTGTCATGTTGTATAGGCCACAGTACAACAGGCATAACACGCACGGCACGCCACGATATCAACAACCGAAAGGGTCCTGAATAGTTTTCAAGGAATGCAACATCAGCACAAATCTTTCGGGCCTCTCTACCTCACAGACACTCAGCCAGAAATTCCCAATACTTGGCAGCGCTGGGGCATGTGGCCCACGCACAAAGGCAGGCGTGTGGCTGGACTGCACAATCAAAGCACCACCGGCAACCCAACCACATCCAACATCCAACCACATCCCGGAGACGCAGTCAAGCAGAGCACAGCAGCAGCAGCAGCATCACCGGACTTAGCTCCGTGTCCCTTGCACTGACACAAGTAAACTGAGTGCACGTCTGCTAGCAGCCGATCTCAGGCACTCTGATATAGGTTTAATTGACAAGTGGCTCTTCAGCTCGGCAAGTGGGCCACTAGAAGAAGCACTTTCGCCAAGCCAACAGTCTCTTCATCAGGGACATTGCCGACATTAAAGCCCTCTGACACGCCTGGGCAGCACGTCGGTAAGATTTCCACAAAGCATCGTTACACTACCACAGCTTATGCAAGTTAGTTATGGCCAGTATAATCCACAGCAGACAGCAGCCGTGTGCGCTGTGTGCTTGCTAGGCATCTTCTGCATGACACGTGAAAGAGGTGAAAGAGCTGCGGGGAAAACCTCGGCTCTGGGGGCAACCACCACCCCAGTCAACTCTAGATTGCCCTGGCAGACACCAATACAATACCATTCTAATCATCTCTACAATGACCATACTTGTCAGTGATATGCTGCTATCATTGCAGCATCACTGACATGCCACAGAAATCTGCCAAAAAGAAATCATTTTAATTTCTGGTGCTGGGATACGCACAATACTATTCAGCTCCACTAGCAAGCCCTTATGGTCATGGCCCAGACATCCACAGTCCAGACAGCTGCCCTTTAATCCATAGATCCCCATGACACTAACCAGGGCACACACACACACACACACACAAACACACACACACACACACACACACACACAAACACACACACACACACACACACACACACACAAACATTACATTACTAACGTTACACTCATCCCACAGACCCACACTGTACAGCCATTTCACCAGGCTGTAACACACACATGCGCTTACTTTTCTTCATCAGGACCAGAGTTCTGGCCCACTTGCCCTCACCACCCTGCAGTACAATCCCAGCAGACGTACCATACGATCCTTCACACCTCTAAACAAACGTCGAGCCAACATTAACGCTATCCATTCCAATGGTAAACTGAGACGTTGACATGAGGGAAAGAGGTAAAGTGAGATACTGGCAGGAATGCACCAGCATCATATGAAGACGTTGGCCACTATAGCCGAAAGCTCTGCCGCAAAGTGCCTGCAAGGTATGCGCAAGCCCCTCCGGTGTTTGATTTCCAGAAAATGAATTAGAGAATGCCACGCATACATAGTATATTCACATGACTGTAAACCATGCCTGCCTAGGACTAGTAGGAACCCTGGGAGGTGAAATGCACAGGGAGAATGCCTGCCCTGCTTCAATCTACAGTTATACATGTCATCATTACAGTCTGGCCTAGAGTTGTTAGCAATGATATCTGCTTAGGCACTTCAAGTCCGAGAGCATTATCATGTAGCTCTGGTGAGGGGTCCTTGAGGAGGCTGCCGGCCAAGAGGGTCCCAGTCAGAGTGAGAGTCTTATGAACGTGCAACACAACAGGGTGCAGTCAGCCACCCAGTACAGCATAGGGATCCATAGTCATTGCCTTAGCTGAGAGCACAACTCAGACTCCTACAAGGTACTGTCCCAGTTACACACTGAACATGGTTGGATGCCTGGCACTTGAAAACTGGTATCCACGATTCGGCAGGCGCATCGAGAATTGCGTTTCGGCTACTAGGGCCAGCAGTGGAGGTCAGTGGGGTGGCGGCACTGAGCCCTTTCAATCATAACTGCTGCACGCCTCATCAGTGTATGTAACATGTCAGACCGGGGCCGTAAAATAGTGCTGCCGTGGTGCTACACAGGAGCTGGGACACAGGGACGGCTCTCTCATCATTTCCACCACTACAATGCACACGTACTGAAATCAGCAGCTCGGTTTCCGACGCTATACGCACTGCAATCAGCACAGGGCCGAGGAGCATTCGTGTTGCGGGTGATGGTGTGAAGGCAAGCGTGGGCCGGGTGTTGGTCGTTTTGTGGACGGCACTCCACTCGACTGGGACGCCGTACACGATACAGACCCTTCACTGTGCAGGCTGCTTCCGCCCTACAAGTCCCAGTGGTGGATAGCTACAAGATCTACACACAGAGACTAGAATACACAGTGGTGGATAGCTACAAGATCTACACACAGAGACTAGAATACACAGTGGTGGATAGCTACAAGATCTACACACAGAGACTAGAATACACAGTGGTGGATAGCTACATGTAGTGCCGGCACTCTTTTTGTCACCCCTATGCTGAATATGAATTCAGCACTCCACCAAGAAGCTTACTGAGAAGAAAGCCCCCCCCCCCCAACCAGATGTCATTGCCTGGGTGTAATTATGGAGAAGTTCTATCCTACATGTACGCTCCCATAAGGTTTTTTTTTACTGAGGGACGGTTCCGTCATGTACCTTTATGGTCATAGGCAAAGAGAAACATGTTGGTACATTGTACACGTGCAGTCATAATTACAGTCACTGGCACATACACACACACATACATATACACACATACACACCTCCAACTAAGTACCACCCCCCCCCCCCCCCAACACATTATCTAGCTCCACTGCTCACACACATACCGGCGCATAATGATTATTTTACAGCATTACTGAGAAGACCCATCATGTCATGTCACTGCCAGAAGAAGTCCAAATGAGCCACAATACAACACATCCATCTAAGTGACCCATTACATGATTACAGCCATGGAAAATGGATTGAGGAATGTGCAAGACACACCACAGGGAGCTAAAACTTAGTTAGACAGTCCTTGAACTGTTGCTTTTGCTGCTGACAACAGCTACCTGCCTAGCTGGCTGTGATCATACCACAGTGAGTCTATAATGGACTCTTATCAGCACTGCCTCCCAATCTACTGGGATCTCCATCTCCACTGCAGCCGGTCACAGCAGCCCCATGCGCCGTCGTGTGGATCAAACACGTCCCGATTTAGAAACCAGGAATACGCGCGTGAGCTGCGAAAGCGCTCTGCCAGCGGCGTGTGTGGTTGGCGTGTACCTGAATACTACTACCCGCTGCCAAGGCATAGCCAGCATACTACTAGTACATATCGCCTCCTGGTTATCCGCGAGCCGGTACTCAGAGTCGGCCGCAAAGATATCCCGAAAGCACTCCAGATGGCCGCAGAACTATCCAGTCACAAGGCAGGCAGACTAGAGTCCGCAATCACAATAAAATAATATTTAATTGCCAGGGGGTAGGCTAGTGTGTAGATGATATCAGACCCTGACTTGCATGTCAGCATTGGTAACACTAACCTCACCAGCAACAGATACTAATACTTTGATGTTCACATGCAGTTCTAGCTCCCGCGCTGCTTTTGCATGTCAAGGTGTGACCCTTAGAGAAATCATGTAGCAGGATGTGCAGCCAGTGGATATCAATTCGAGCAGCGGAAGTCAAGGAGATAGGAAAAGTTGTTGGGCCCGGCTCAGCACGATGGAGCACGAAGGCGAACAAATCCGCAACAAAGGTTGACAAGCTTAGAACTAGGGAAGAGCCATATCACTGATGTAACCACATCAAAAACTGGCACTGGGGTTTTCCTCCCTCTCTCTCTCCTGAAGAGCACTGTGGCCAATTTGCACAGGCTAAGGAAGCCAGCCTCATTAGGAGCTACTTCAATTATTGGACATCCTGCCACAATGGGGAGCATCTGCCACAGCTACCGGGACAACAGGAATACAAGACCACAGCCTGCAACCTCTTCTACACTGCTGATTCAAACTGACAACAAACCTACTCAAACACACACAGGCACACACACACACAGGCACACATTATACTAGTTTACACAGATCTGGCATCATACTAGTATCATGCTGTGGGGGACAGCATCAACGCCAACAAGGGCACGTGTACATCAAACAACAGATCAAAACCCCCAACACACACACACGCACATTTAACCACCCTGTACAGTACAAGGGAAAGCCTGAGTGAGGGGCAGCCCGGAAAATTCCACTCCTCAAATATGTACATGTATTCTAAGAACTACCAATACTGCAATTGTACATTATAGTGTACTAAACAACCGCACAGTGCAGTACATGTACTGTGGAGTGGGGCGTGGAACATAATTTAATGACATCCAAGAAACTGGTGCCGGAAAAGTCAAACCACACCAACCCTGATAGATGGGCGCAACACCAGGAACTTCACACTCTGCTGCCCAGGCAATTACATGTAATTAGTACCTATTTGTGCAGCAAAAAGGCAACAGGTACACAGGCTTGTGCAGCTACATGTAACAATCATGTCTGGTAGATATGAGTATGATGTAGTTAGCACTTTGCTCATGCAAACAAGACCTAAACATGCCAGCGTGTCCGTGCCTCAGGGCCAGACTGTGGACAGGGGACAGAGTGTAGGGCACACAGCTGTGGGGCTATGACGTGGGGCACGGAGCAAAATACAAGATCTCCTTGCAGTGCCTCTTTATTTCTTCAGTGTTCAGCACAGCCCTTAGGTGTGGGATTTCACCACTCCGGATTTACAGATCCGCACTTTTTCTTCCAAACAAGGAGGACCAATAAGCTACACATAGGTGCTGTAAAGATAGAGAAGAGCTAGAGCGGCAGGAGAGGCCGGTCTCTGGTTACAGTGAGCTACACATACTAGTGATTCAGTAAGGACCATGCTTATCAGTCCCCCTATCCTGTTTCGCCTTTGCCTCCTCTGGCTGGGGACCATGCTCAGGTCCTCTCCTTCACTGCCTTTGTCACCCCTGGCTGGTAATGTTACAGAACAAAATCAGAACGTTTGGCAGCCTTGTGTAGAAGGGACATATCAAGCACCCCGCATAGTCCTGCCACTAGTGCCAATATTCAGGTTGTCCATGCTTCCCCTAGCTGCATCTCATGTTCGGTATTTAAGTGGTCTTTGTAAAAAAAAAGGAGAAGAAAAAAATGTAGGACAGTGCCAAACCAGTAGAAGGTCATAATGTCTCCTTACAGCAGCTATTGACTAACCCAATTACTAGTACAGCTGCCTGGCATGTACATGAAAAACGCTCAGCTCTGTGCACAGGCAGGCACTCATCTCAAGAGAAGTTTTAGATATTTCCACAGTCTTGTCAGTGCAGTAGTCCCCTGCTGCAAATTCCTTTTGGACATGCACTCTCAACCCATTACGTTAGTTGCCCTAAACACCGTACAATACTACAAGCTGTAGGCAGTGCAGGGGATCAGACTTCTACACTGTAGTACAAGGCATATCACAAGACAGTGACAGTGCATCTACGAGTAGTACGTCACACAGCCGCAACCATACAGTCAAGCAACACCATTGGTCCTGATAACACACTTTGAGTCTAAGATCTTTCCCTTGTTAAAATAGCTCACAGACAACGTCACAAAGTCATAAGCACTTCGGAGCCTAATAAATATTTCAATTGCTAATCTAAAGTTGTTGCAAATGACTGGGGCCACATCTCAAACCAATAATGGCAAACGTGTAACAACTCAATAAATTACCCTGGGGGCAAAAAAAGCGCATCAAGTGGAAATGATCGTAAAAAGTGATATTTGTTGTCCCACTCATTACATGCAGTGCACACACAGAATGCTGCTACATGTACTGTGAAGTACTGATACTAGTACTGAAAATGCTGGTGATCTTCTCTCAGTGGATGCTAGACAATCCTGTGGTTTGATACGGCAGATACGCTTTTGCATATTGGCTTTGACCCGTTCTTGATTTTACAATAACAAACAATCTCCCCGAGTAATCTGACAGCAATTACAACCATTAAGGCTATTATGGTCTTGTTGAGGCTGTTCAAACTTGAGCGTAAAGACCTCCCCTTGACAAATTATCGCGAACATGTTCACCTCTTCAGGCAATCTCTGCAACGTTCTCAACGGTTGGGAGCAAAACGTGCAGCAAAAGGAGTAAACGTGCACACTGCCACGGAGGCTGCTGTGGGGACGGGCGCACAGAGTCTAGAAATAGACATCACAGGACTTGTAGATCTTGTATACATACTTACACTGTGCGCTGGGGTGCCCCTTGACAACTGGAAGACTGGTATGGTTTTAGGTTTCATTTATTTTCACTAGAATGATGTGATGTGATGCAGCTTTGAGAGCACACTGTGGACAGGCGTGTATTTACCTCCATTTTGCTAGGTGCGATTTAACATTTAACGTTTCTCTGCATTATTTCTTACTACTCTAGATATCCAAGCATGCGTATCTGCTTTCTCCTCTGCCTATAGACCCCTTTCCGGATAGAACACAGTGCGCGTTGCATGGCAACGGGTGACGCGCAAAAATGTTTGGTGGGCAAGAAGTTCAGCCCAAACTGCAGTGAAAGTAATTTTTCAACCAGGAAGCAACAATGTCTGCTGTCATCCCTGACTCTGCTGCCGCTGAGCAGCCACCACCCTTGCCTCAGCCACTGGCTGTCCTTGCTGAACAACTTTCAAAAGGGTCCGAAGCCAGCGATGCCGATTTTGTTGGGGTTCAGACTTCTCTTGCGACGCTGAAGGTGGCCGAACTGAAGGAAATTGCCAAATTTCTGGATGTTCGGTTGACTGGAGCAACAAAGAAGGCTGACATCGTGGAGCGCTTGGTGTCGATGTCCAAGATTGGTTTGGCTGGTGCTGCTGATGCGTCGTCCTCTGGTGCTTCCGTTGGACTGCAGTATATAACTCAAGACGTTCGGGGCACTTTGTCTTCGTTGCCTCGTTTCAACGAGGTGCAAGACTGGTGCAAGGAGTTTCGTGCTGCTGTGGTGCGGTTCCACTTCATGGATTTATTGACGTACTTGGTCTATGGACGAGACAAGACGTTTGATATGGAGAGCATGAAGGCATTTAGGTGAGTAATGAACATGGGCGGTGTGGGTACGTTGTGATAGTAGGCAGTTTGAATTCGTAATCTCTCAAGACAAAGTCAGTGTCACTGTGTGTCAAGTTTTGTTGAAAGACCTACTGTAACTGAGGTCAGCTAGCATTTTCGAATCAGTTGCCATCAATGTCTAATCAGTGAAGGAATTCAGCTAGGGAACCCCTGAATTGCACATCCCTAATATTGTCTCTTTTCTCCAAATGTGTCTTTGGAAATTTTGTTGGCAACAGGTCTTTGAAGGCGTACCAATTTTTTGCCGATGGCTTTGTGAAGAATGTGTGGAGCAAGCAATATCCTGCATCTGGGGAGAACGGTGTGGCAATCTCCTATCTCCGTGCTTACGTCCACCATTCCTTGTCGTGTGATACACCGCTCACCGTGTATGTGTCGTTGAACACTGAGACTGGTGAAGTCTACGCTGCGCAATGCAGCTGTATTGCCGGGTAAGTGTTTTCACAGAAACGCACTACGAGTTGGTGTGTTTTCTTCAGTCCAAATGTGACAGTTGACCTGCGGCACTGATAAATCCTATTATAACTCTTCCTCCTTACCTGTGCTGTGATAGTTCCTTTGTAGTGACATGTATTTTGCAGATGATTGTTATAATAACTTCTTTGTTCAACAAGTTTGTGATGTGATGAGTTCTGACAGCTCTATCTGACGTTGGCATATATTTGTTGTCTCCCGTGCATGGTGTGCGTGTGCGGTTGTTGTTTATGTTAGGCTGGGAGAGGCGTGCAATCATGTTGCTGCCCTACTCTTCTTCATTGAATCCGCTGCAAAAAGGAATCTAGTGGAGCTACCCGTGGAGTTGTCTAAAACGTCACAACCTATGCGCTGGAATCAGCCTCCAAAGAAGCATGTCGATCCTCAGCCACTCGCCAATATGGAGTTTGTGAAAGCTTGCCATGGCATGACTGATGATGAAGTGGAGAGGAAGCAGCTGCGAGCGGAGTTTGATCCCCGTGCACCGTCACACCGCCAAGTCACATCTGCTGACGCACTCACCTTGCAGGAGGCATTAGCAGCGGGAAAGGCATCAGCCAAGAACTGTGGGTTCTTCCATTTCTGGGAAGTCGAAGACCAGTCATCAGGACTTGCTGCTACTCCAGTTAGCCAACCCAAGGACCTTTCGCCATTGGTCCTGTTCCATTCTGACAGGCTTCCAGGTGGAACGAGTGAAGATGCCCTTGGTCGATATACCGGACCACTGTCCAAGTACGGTGTATCCCAAAAGGAAGTGGAAGACTTCACCAAAGGCCAGACAGACAACTCGTGGTGGTTCGACCTACGTCATGGGCGCCTAACTAGCTCACGATTTGGTGACATCGTTCGCTCTCGAGCCCAGGAGCCAGTCTCGCTGCTGGCCGGTATCATGGGATACACCACCATTTCCGCTTTGCCACCTGCCATGCGATGGGGAGTGGAGAATGAGCCCAGGGCGAGGGACATGTACCTCAGTGTGGCACTCGAAGATGGAAAGAACATCACCGTAAGAGAGTGTGGTCTTAGCCTCCATCGTGACTACCACTTCATTGGTGCGAGTTCTGATGGAATCGTTGTGGAGGAGCTTGAGAGCGGCGTGGTGGAGCGTGGCTGCCTGGAAATAAAATGCCCCTTCTCCATCCAGGGCACATCTATTGTTAACCTCACGCCAACTCGGATCGCCCAGCAATTCCCTGGCAAGTCATTCTTGGAATGCCACGCGGACGGGTCAGCCCACTTATGCAAGAATCACAAGTACTATGACCAGGTGATTGGTGAGATGGCGGTCATGGATGTGAAGTGGTGTGACTTTGTGGTGTTCACATGTGCTGGCGTGCTTGTAGAGCGTATCATGTTCGATGACGCTCATTGGCAAACCATGCTCATGAAGTTAACATCCTTCTACGAGCAGTTTGTTATCCCAGAGCTGTGCTCTCACAAGCTGTACCTTTCAAAGTACAAGTCATGAATGACAAGAAAAAATATTTTTGTGTTTATATTCTGTACATAGGGATTTCAATCTATTTTGCTTCGCTAGATTTTTGGAACTTTGTACAGCAATGCCCCATCTTCTGCGAGGGATATGCTCGGAACCTTCTCATGTTCCCAGCATTGAAACTTAATTCTGTACATAGCGGTTCCGATCAATTTTTCTGTTATTGTGCGGAATTCTATGGATGACATCGCACACATCCTTGTACCTGTCTGTCATTATAAATATTGGCTGGATATTATGCTACTTCTGGTAGCCCGTACCAACTTGCTTCGGTGACAATCGCGGTGACAGTGCACTCTTTATCACATCCCAACCCCACAAATAACATGCACCCAGCCAGTGACCTGGCAGCATTTGGTATGTTCATATTCACAAGCTTTGGGAATTACACAAAATAGTATTTTGAACCAGAGACCTTTGCTTGATCGTGGCATACGCCACCATTTCCACTTTGCCGCCTGCCATGCGGTGGGGAGTGGAGACAATGCACTCTTTATCACATCACAACCCCACAAACAACACGCACGCAGCCAGTGACCTAGCAGCAGTTGGTACGTTCATATTCACAAGCTATGGCACTTCCAGAAAATATTACTTCGAACCAGAGACCTTTACATGACCGGAGCACTGTGCTTCCGCCGCGCCATGTAGCCGTACTTTGTATTTACATTACATGTGAAGATAGCGTGCGAATCCAGCTCCGATATGTTCAGAAAAATGATTCTAACTGTGCACCTCCCTTCCGGCTCCAGTAATAAGACGAATCGTCTGTTGGAGAAACCGAAGTAAAATAAGAGTGGTTATTATTATTATTATAGTGTGCTGAAAAATAGACCATAATAAAGAGAACAAAAGAAGATAGAACTTGAATATAGTGATTCACATGTCTCTTCAATTTACTAGCGGGGCGTCGAAGTTTGTGAGGAAGAAGCACACTTTCACGATGTGAGACGACAGACTCGACATGCTCACAGGGAACACAGTGTTGAGGACACGGTAGCAACGTGCACGTCCGATAGCCCGTTCGACATGGATACGCAGCTCTGCAATGCGGCGGGTCTTCTCGATCTTCTGGGCGCTCATCTGGCTATCAGCACCGAGCTTTGGCGGGATGTTCAGTTTCACTCCATGGAGAGCAAGAGGCACCTCGATGTCAAAGCCCTTGTCAGCCATGACACTGTCACCCTTCTCCAGAAGCTGCAACAGACCGCTCTGCTCTGTGATGACCTTGTCACTGACTCGGCCACCCCAAACATCCGACACAAAAGTCACAAGACCAGCAGGTGAAACACCTACAAGAATCTTCATGGTGTTCCGGCTCTTGTAGCTGGAGTAAGTGATCGACTGGTTCAGGAGAGAAGTTGGGCGCTCCATCTGGATCTCCAAACAGTCAATGATAATCCTCGTCTGCGGAAACTTGGACTTAAAGCACGGTGGCATGAACTTGTCCACAAGTTGTCTGGACGGGAACGGGAAGAGGAGAGACAGCTCACGGGACAGAAACAGAATCCACGTGGAGTACATCCTGCTGAACGTGGAGTCAGGCATTTGCATCAGGGCTGCCACAAACCCGCCACACATACCATGGCGCAACCGGACAAGCGTCGCAAAGAACTGGTTGGCAATGGACAAGTCCTTGGTCATCCGAGGGCCAGGCTTGTTGTCCTTGGGGTCACTGGTGGAATCACCGCGCCAGGCAGTGAGCTTTGCGGCCTTCTCCTGCACATGACCTAAGACGGCATGGAACACGGAGCGGTTCGGCAGACCAGTGAGGAAGCGACACTTCTCATCAGACTCGTCAATCCAGTGCACACCAAACTGTGCCTTCGAAAGCCCAGTCTCTAGTTCCCCGCAACGCCGCTTTAGCCGTTCAACTTCCGCCCTCAACTTCTTGCATTCCTCTTCCAAACGATCAGTGTCCGAGGTGTAGGGTTCATCAGGTCCACATGCTGTAGAACATGGAAGAGAAAGATAACACAAATCACGTCACAATTGACCAGGGACAAGTGAGATCACAGTACCGGCACATAACATCTAACCCTCCAAATGGGAGTGATGCAATGGAGAAGATTAGGTACGTTTCGTCCATGACGTCCAGGTGCAATTCAAAGAACAGGGATCAGAAACAATCTACCGATATTACACAAGGTCAGGACATCTTAGAAACGTACAATAATTATTGAACCAATATGGGACCCGCAGCATTTTCACTCACTACTGTACACATGCGACAAGAGTTGAAACCAATCACAGATATGACACTACTTGAAGGCCAAGACAGCAGACACCTTACCTGTAGACACCTTGATAGGAGCAATAGTTGGCACTTCAAGATTCAGAAGACTGGACATCCCGGTTGAGTTCTGAGCAACAAACAAGTAGACATACACCTACACTTTATGATTCTCGAAAAAATAATTTAATTCTTCCAGACACCATCATCTAGAAAGAGAAATTTCAAAATGCATCTGAAGAATAACGTCTTTCTGGCCTGGCCAATGGAGTGTGCATGGCCTTTCCAAGAAGGGGACCTTCCAGCATCGTACAACATCGATGCATCAGGGGCACAAGCTGATTGCAACGTATGAAATTCATAACGTACAAACAACTAAATTTTGAATTACTCAACGTACAGAATCAGTCAGAAGTTTTTTCTTACCTTGAAAATAGGAGAGGACAGTTGAAGTTTGGCGAAGTACGAGTGGTCATGAGAAACACCATGTCGTTGGCTTGCCTTCCTTGCCTCTTCTTTCTGCTTCAGCCTTGCAGCATCAGCCAATTTCTTTTTCCTCAGCTCAGTAAACTTCTCACGTCGGACAGAACGATCGATTTTTGACGTAGCTGTTTCAGGGTTCGCGGAGTCATAACCGAGCTTCAAGGACGGCACATAGTCAGGATGGGACTCGTCATCCTTTGCTTCCTTTGCATTCGGATTGCCAAGAACAAAATGCTTCTTGCAGACTCGCTCGTCAGTGTCTGGTGTCCAGGGCGATCCATCAGCTTCTTTACGGCGAATTGCAGCAATCCAGAGTCCCCTGCGCTTGGGATTTGTTGGAAATCGGTGGAAACCACCTCCACAGCCACGCGTATACCTATTCGTGCATCCTATGACGGCACAGGTCTGCACCATGGCTGAAACTAAAAGGAAAGGACGACAAAATAGATCCAACCAACTAAAAAGACAAAGTAACTAATTAGTAGAGTGGTTCTTCTTGCCCACCAAAGTTTGAATTTCTCGGTAACCATAGAGATTCGCGGCGATCCGGAAAGGGGTCTATACAGCCAGACTCTCTTGCATGAACCATCTGCAACCACACAATGCTGCCATAGGTGACAGTACTATAGAGACTGGCTGGCCAACGCACTATGATGAACTTAGGATGTGTGATCACACAAATCAGGATAACTGTGTGAGTGTGAAGAGACAACAACATGCTTTTCACAACTCTCCAAGTCTCATGCATCCCACAATCCCCCCACTGGAGCATTTTTGCCTTGTACATATATCGAACAACGTCAGTGTGGTGTCAAAGCGGTGTATTACCCTCTCGACTGGCCACATATCAAAGGAATCTTTTCCAAAAGAGAATCCACAGTGAGTGCTTTCCTTCACCACAATAATCCACCCAATGCACAGCAGCTAGAAGAGGCATACTGCTCACAGAGCCGTGTTGCCATGTTTGGCAGCATGAAGTGAAACTGTCATAATGGTCAGCAGGATACAGGTAAACTGCATCAAGATAACATTGAGTGGCAATGGCACGAGTAATACAATTATAATGTAATGCATGCATACAACACAAAGTATTTAGGCGGCACAGAGCCTATGCAACAATACATACCATGGTCAGTAGCCCCTTCCCAGTGAAGTGCATACATGTACATCCCCTAAGCATGGTCCACATAGTACATGTTACATGCACACCCAGTGGTATCATTGATCCACCAGCTCTTTCCAGGATAATGTAGCTAATATGAAAGTTACACTGCTGACAGCTCAGATATCTCTGCTCCTACAACTGGTGCTGGTGCTCCAAGTCTAAGTCACTGAACATTGAGAGAGCTGGAGTGATAGTGGTGGAACTGCTTGAAGCAACATGCAGCTTGGGCCGCACTGGTCATATGTGCGTGATGGCAGGATACCCACCATGACATGGCCCATTGCACACTACTGATAGAGCACATCCACTGATCATGCCACACAACTCTGCCCCTAAACCTACACACAGTGCCCAGTACAGGTCATGCTAGCAAGCAGTACAGCAGTGCCTTGGCACATGCAGTGGCCTGCATTCAACAACACACCCACAACATGCCTATCACAACCAATCAGACAAACCCCTGCTAGACCCAACCATGGCATATCTAGTTGCCAGGATGGCCAATGCAGTAAAAACACATCTCCATGTCGCACAAACGCTACATGTACGATGTGGCTTATGCTGATAGCCTTCAACACAGGCAACATACTCAGCCACACAAACCCTCTTCATACTACAATAGTGTTAGAAACTGTAGATAACAGACTGTACATAGTGTACAAATTAGTACAAAAACATAGGTCTATACTATAGTGGTGTTGCACTATGGCGGGTGGTTGTAGTACTGATGGTGGGTGGTTGTAGTACTGATGGTGTGTGGTTGTAGTACTGATGGCGGGTGGTTGTAGTACTGATGATGGGTAGTGATAGAATCGTACTAATACATTCTTAGAGTGCAGTGCAGAGTGGCCTGGGTCATTGCAATGGCCAAGTCTTTCAAAACTGTATCTCAGGTATCCATACTGACTGCTTTTTTATCCTTCCTTTTTAATTTTTCCTTGCACACACACACACACACACACACACACACACACACACACACACACGCACACACACACACACACACACACACACACACACACACGCACGAACACACACACAAAACAGTACTACATTTAAAAGGTGAAAGCAATCATCCCACTGCCATCACCATCCACCAGTACATATCATCCAGCATTCCATTCGACCATCTATCAACACCATTATAATAATTATTTCTGTAACGTGCACCTCCTGTTACTGAACATTCACAACTCTGAACTCTGACACATAGGTAACCTTGAAACACACAGAACAAGTTCACTTCCCAACTACTCTAGCACAAGTTTTCTGATGGACACTTTGACAGCAGGGTGCAGAAATTGAAGTGCATACAAAAGTGTTAACAAGAGAAACGGCGTGCTCTGCATCACAGAACTGGCCAATCTTGTATACCCTATCCAGGAGAAACATGGTTTCCCTACAAACACACACACACACACATACACACAAAAGCGGGCGTGCATTTCCCATTTCTCTCCCTGTCCACACTGGCCATGCCTAGTAGGCTGCAAAGTAACTTTGGCTCGACAGGTGTTGCACGCTCCAATTCCAAGGGCAATGCAGCTTCACTGACACTTGAATTCTACTTATGTAGACACGCATAGTGGCCGCAACCATTTCAACAATCAACAAGACACGCCAATATTCATCATTGTGCGGGCCTGGCCTCTGGTGGAAGGCCGGTAAAAATTCGATAGTGCTTTGGCCATGGCTCGGCCGCTGGGTAACGGCAATGAGCTGTGGGCTACAGACGTTGTATGTACCTCGTACAGTTAACTCAAATCACTGGATGGATGACTGGTATTAGTGTGTGTGCTAGCACTCAACAAACCATGGCCATTGGAACACAATACAGCACAACAGAAAGTTACATGTCTGAACTGTAGGTCGAGGCAGGTAATACTACTAGCTGCCAACGCTATATCTAAAAATCAGAGCATGCGCCGGGCAGATAGCCGAAGGAGAGCGCGACTAGGAAAGGCATGATTGCTGAGTGCGTGTGGGTGCTAACAGGACCAGTACTTGAACTGTGGCCGTCTGAACAGTGTTAGTGGTGAGCCTCAAGTCCCAGTGATGGACAACTAACGTGTTGCTGTTTCTCTCAGCTACAATCAGCTGACTGAAGTCACTAGGTGTAGCTGACCAGGAGGGCGCCTTGATGGTGTTTCCTGGTCTGATTTGGCTGGTAAACGTTTCCCACGTAATCATTGCTCTGAACCTTACAGTAACATGTCTGTATCATGTATGGACCCTGCATGATGACCACATGATCCAGCCTAGCACCTCCAGCTGGCTGGCCAGGGCTAGCAGTTCACTGGAACGTTATGTGTATGTACTATGTAGCACCACAACATTGTAAGTCTGTTGGCAGTCATCACCGTAACAAATCTATACATCAACCACCACAAGGCACACTAAAATACCAGTACAAGCACAAGGAATGAGCGCACGCATGCCAGCATGCCTACATCCGCATGCACGGCCTGCGCCGTCCAACCAAGACCAGCAAGCCACCAGGGCATAGCCCCCCCCCCCCCCCCCCCCACCACCCGTCACAGCTACTGGGACACCATTCTCGGTTTTCAGCTCAGAATGCCCATGTACTACAAGTACACACCCCAGGCACATGACACACTGCTGCACAAACCACAGTTTCCCATGTGATGCCTTACAATGCCGGCAACAGAAGATTTGTGGTCAATTTAACACACCACTATCAAGGGTCCTCAGTATGGAGGAGAGTGTGCATGCATCATCATTTGGGCCTTGGTAGTACAGGCGGGCTTGGGCCAACTGGTGTTGTGCCACACGTGGCCACCCTGTGTATGTCTCTTGTGCGCAAAGAGGCTAAGGTCCCATGCTTGCCTAAGCACCACTCATCCACAAACATTGTTAGCACTGTGTGCGAAATTTATAATTACAAGCCTCCACTGTTGTCTACATTACTCCCTTGCTGACCATGGTTGTTACTGGTCGAATGTGGCTGCTTTGTAATGATGCGCCCCAGCAATAAATCTAGTGGCAACGGTGATTAGTACAGGCAAAACACTTGCATGCTGCCACCGCTCGCACGTTTTTTCCATGATTGTTCTCTCTTTCTCAGCCTTGCAGACAGCAATTAGATGCTGCATAGACTATTTAGTGACACACTGGCTTTGGTGTGCAGGAAATTAGCTCGCATCAGTACATGGCATGGACGCGTACCTCCACGTTTTCACTGGGAGGTGTGATCGCCAAACGCAGTTTTCGAGCCAGTCTTTGCCCCATCACGGCGCCGTGGGCTGTCCAAAAGCAAGGAATGCTTGCAGAAACTTGACCACAGACACCAGACCCCCACAAGTACTCTGCTCGACACGAGACAACAAGACCTGCGGTCAAGATCGCTCCAGCAATAACCGACTGCAGCGTGTGTGTCAGGCAGCGCAACCAACACTACAACAGCCATCAATGGCTGATCTGGGCTATATCTGGATTGCAACCTACTCCCCAATCGGCAAGGAGGTGACAGTTTTTTCGAAGCTTCGGTAGCAATGCATTTGGAGTAGTCAGGAAGAGCTGTCCGTTTCTGTAAGGGGGAACTATTTCGTTCTCTGAAAACACAACTTTATCCTACGCATGTCGTGCAGTTCGGCCGTACCCACATTGCCCGCACAGAGTACTGAGAGAGAGGAAAATAGCAGGCTGGCCAGGAGCATGCAGTTCGCCGTACCACGCAACCGCACACAGCGGACGGTGCGTGGAAAGGAAAGACAAACAAGCGCACGCAATCATGCAGCGCCACCACAGATAGTTCTCAGATCGACACGATACAATGCTGGGACTGAGTACTGTCGACTGTCGTGTTGGTCCACGACAAACTCGACGTGAAGTCTGAAGGCACGAGGAGTTTGGAGTGGGCTAACCAAATTTAATTTTCCGCATTCGGCAAGCCTTGTGCAGAAGGAAATCTCCTCAGTGCAAAGTACGCCGAAGTAACAGTTAGTTGTACTAAAAGTACCGTTGCGTAATCTGCAACAACTGCATCGCGGATAAGTCCAAGCTCCTCAGTTCTTTCACCATCCCGACACATGGCCATTTGACATTCACGGACAGGGAATTTTCACGATACATACAGACACACTGATACATGGAGGAATTTCTGGTCACCTCCTGTCAACGTGCCTCAGACTATCTTCATTCAGCGTTTTACTACGACCCATGTGCCAACAAGCTCCCATCCCACATCCCACTCCGACTCCCAGTAGGATAGTACGTGAACGCGCATACATCACAAAGACCAGCGCAGCGTAAACGACGGACCATCATGATCAATCGAGAAACGTGCAGGACTGCGGACCAACAGCAAGGTGCGCGCATACGCGCGCTCTGACAGCGTCGTCTGGCGCTGCAGAAGGTCCCTAGAGGTTAGACTGGGCCTCTCTTACTCATTGAAATGACTACACACTGCACTGCACATGCAGTACTCGCTTGTACTTGTAGTACTCTCCGAACGAGACTTTGCACTGTCACGACACTAGTCGGAGTCATACATGAATCACAGAGAAAGCAACACGGAACGAACTGAGGCACAAGGAAAGACGGATCGTCACCGTCCTAAATGGCTGAACATCTTGAACAAAGATACAACTCTATCAGGGCCTGGTCGCCAGGAAGAAGGCTAACACACGGAAACATCACGGACACATCCCTATGTCGCTAGTTTCCACAACGAAACTACCATTACAATACAAGAAACACCGAGGCCAAGAAAAAAATTCCTAGGTTCTCGTGGTCGAAATAAAAATAGTACAACAAATTTCACTTACTTGGCCGGGTCTAGGCACCATCAGCAGCTCACCCCCAATCCTCGCGTTGCACACCGTGCAGCCAAGCCTTCTCCTGCCACCGACATGCAGGTAAGTTGAGGTTCGTTGTTCCAGAACCCAGAAACACTACAGACCACCAGCAGCAGCGCTATCACTGCCTGGCAGTACACTACCAGCAACAGTCGCAGTTCCGACGCACAGTCAACACCGCACTCTGCGCAGTGCCGTGCAAGGCTTTGTTTTTGAAACCTATACTGCTACAGCGTTCGGCAGCAGGACGTACAGAGCAGTGCCATGGAAGTCGGAGAGCAACAGCTGCACTCGACGATAGACGCAGTACTACTAGTAGTGAACCGTGAGTTGGCCACTCCACACTCCACTTGAAAAGTTACAGCATTCAGGTAATGATGCCGTACAGCACCAGCCCAGCCCAGCGCACTGGTTTTCCACATCCGACACTCAGCTGGTCTGCGGGACACAACATAAACGGTGGCGAGCTTCAGCTAGACAAACCAACTCGATAACCATGATAACAGTAAACCCACCTCAGCGTGCACATGTACGGAGCGGGCAGCACAAAGAGACGCTTGGACGTAGAGTGGATGCCGCGTCTTTCAAAATCTCTCGTGAAACAGACGGCTAGACGGGTACTGCACTGCACTGGTGGTACTCACCGAGTCACTGACGCTGAGTCTGTATACATGTAGCCATTGTAGGTATGAATCTACGTGCATAATGCGCATGGCGGGTGGAAAAACTTTCCGCAGTCAAGTGATGGGATGATTCATGTACATACGTAGTCTAGTCGTCGACACGTCCTTCGTAGCTACGACGCTACGTAGATCTACGTACACTGCAGAGTCAGTAGCTTGCACGAGGCCTTGACCGTTTTGGCGCATAGCATGCACGTAGACTGGCCTCGTACTCGTAGTCGTAGTCTACTCACACACTGCAGTGTCTGCACTGACTGACTGTGAGTGTGACACAGCATGGCTTCAGAATCAGAGGCAGAACAGTGTGCATGGATTGGCATCGATCATACACTGACAGTTGCCAGTTCAAGATCACAGGAGACTGCTGACTGGACTACAAATACAATCATGTAGAACTGGTCGACTCGACTCAAGATCCTCACGCCAGTCACGGAAAGCTATGGCATGCAGGGCCGGCTGCGACGATCCACGCCGAGATAGGACTGATACGAGTAGATCTACTGTAGTATACGTATGGCCATGTACGGCTTTCGGTAGTCTGTAGTCTGAACAAAAGTCAACGAAGACCGCAGGATGTAACTAGTCGTTTGTAGCAACCCTCACGCTAGCAGAAATTCACTGTGGCTTGAATCCCGAGCCGCATGCCGATTCAGCGATACGCGGTTCTAGCGGGTCGAACACCCACGCTTTAGTTGTTCTCTCTTGCGCTAGCAGAACACAAAGGCTTGGGGTGCTAAAAACCGTATAGCACTCAGCAGGACTTGACTTGGCGAGCGGTCACACCTGTAACGAGCGAGCCGTCGAAATGGACGTAACGTCGTTCCGTATAGCTGTCGACCAAGACACCCGGTTGGTGCAAAACTATCCCGCTCTTGACCACCACTGCATGCAGCGTCGTAAAGCTTCTAACTTCATTATTGAATGTTCTAGTCGAGATGCAGGGTGCATGTGTTGGAAGTGAGAAGTGCTAAGTCGGTTAGAAATTGCAGCGAACGTCGTGCTCATCAAGTTAGTTAGTCCAGTCTCCAACTTTCTGACAATGGTGTTGGCGTGCTGGCCCATCACATACAAGCTGCAGAAAACGTCTGCTTCAAGTTCAAGTCGTTGCTGTCCGAGACGATCATACTCTACCGTAGTCTAGATATTTTCTTTCCGTACTGTGCACAGCCAAGAGTTACTTGTAGTTGAGCGATCGCTGGGGTGACTATAACCATGATAACGCTCAGCAGACCAATTGTCAAAATTAATAATATTGTAGTACAGCAAATTATTTAGTATTACTGGGTAGCTAGCGTGCAATCTACATGTAGCTAGCAAGTCAGGGGTGTGAAAATCTCTCTATTTCTTCCGTAGTAGTAAGTAGATCTACTAGTTACATGCGCTGCGGCATGCGCATGGCAGTTACCATGTTACTTGAAGTCTTTCGCTATAACGTGTCTACTGACACTGAGTACTGAGTACTGAGATTGTTTCCAGAAATAATGTACAGTGTACAGTAGGTCTACAAGCAAGTAATTATTATTGTTGGTGCCTTTGGAAAGCCGCCGAAATGCTAAATTTTACTTCACAGAAGACAGTTCCTGTGACTGTCGACTGTCCAGTGGAAGGTTTCATTGCCATTGGTAAGTTGCCATTGGTAAGCTGTTGGAAGTAGAGTAGAGAGTTGCCGTACGAACTCCTCACGCACCATGGAATACGGTCCTTGTAAAAGAATTTGGCTAGAGTGTGCTCTCTTCGCAACATGATCATTCCAGGCGAGTACGACTCCGAGTGTATAGATCACGACGTTTTGGCGTTACCATGTATGTACGTAGATGAGAATCGCTACAACACTGTCAATCATCATTTTTTACACGGCCATCAATATTGCAATCGCTACGATTCACAGCGAGCGGTGGACACTTGCGGTCGGTTGCGGTCAGCTTGTCACTGCGTTCCAGGCTCTGGCCCCAAGCGAGCTAGGCGCAGGTTTGTACCAGAAGGCATCTTGCGGTTTGGCTGATTTTTACGCGGCCA